TCTTCAATAAAACCCGTTAACTTTTACTCTGTGTCTCTGTTTGGCTTCACTGCATGTGGGTCCGAGCCTTAGAAAAATCATGACACTTTGATCCAATAATAGATGTTAAAAAGACGTTAAAAACCCAGTTTTCAACATCTGAAACATATGGCTTTTCTACATTCACTTTTTAACCAAATGTACGTAAACCATGTCGTCCCTTAAATGTCTTTTCTATTTTTGCTCGGTGGCAAAATACTGCACATAAGGTTTTCTATTTAATCCGGTCTGCAGTGATCAAACATCTTCTAAAGAAAAAAACAAACTACATTAAATAATATTCAGTCCATTTCTTGCTTTTTTATTAAGATATTTACCCCTTATGGTAAAAGAAACAATCCATTGAATGCTTTCAGTCCCGCTTTAGACCAAGACAGTGTAGTTAAAAGTGTTTTATCAGTTATGGTCTGTATCTTCTTTGGAGATTCATGCCTTTCACATGCTTGATCATCAGTCTGCTACCGTCAGCTGATTCAGATCTTATTTTGCAGAGAGGGATTGCTTTCAGTGTTAAGAGTAATGAAGGGGTTAGTAAGGGCATTATACAGAGTAATTAAAACAATACTATCATGTGAATAGCAATATAACATGGCACATTGCTGCTTTTTGTTTCCCATGCAGGGGGAGAGCAGGGGTGCAGAGGTATGGGCATACTCGATGCTGATTGGCTGAGGAGGTGAAAGGTGGGTGGAGGTTTGTGATGCAAACAGACTGAGACCAACAACAGGAGAACCATGCGAGGCGATGGCAGAGAGAGACGTGCACATTCAGGACAGCATTCCTTATCTGCAGGCATGGATGCTGCTGGAGTCCCTGGACCTGTGATTGGCCCAGGAATAAAGACCTTATCTACGCCAGCAACACGCAGCTCTTATCTAAAGAGGCATGTGGAGTCTTTTCACCCATCCAAAACTCAGAGTTACAGCTGCTTTTTCAGTAAATTCTGCTTTACCTCTTCAGTGCTATACTGACAATATAAACTGGGTAATAATGGAAGTATAAGTCTAAGTGGTTAAAAAAGCCTTTTATCACCAGTAATAGAAACTTTGTTTGGTGGCGGAGGGGTGCAAACATGCTGCAAATAAATAAATGTACTGCAAATTCAAAAAGTACTTCAAGCTTTTGTGCAACATAGATATATTTATTAAATATCTTATTTAACCAAATATTATTCAGTCATATATAGTTTATGAACACACTCCTTACTGACTATGTGTAAGAACAACAAATGAAAGAGTGAATCAAGCTTAAATCATGTTTAAACAGTTAATTCACCACAACTTCCTTTCAAAATATAAGAGTTTATTTAGAAAAATCATTCAGCTCCAAGTCAAACATTGTGACAATCTTGGTTCTGTTAAGTTTTCTTTTGACTATTCAGTTTTACTTTGCTCCATGTTTTATAGTTTTATTGGTTTAATTCTTATTTTGTTGTGTTTTCTGGTTATTTTTCAGGTTTTTATTTGTTGCTCTCTGCTGCCCTCTTGTGTTCTCCTTTTTCCCTAGCTCCTTTCCTGTCTGCTCTGTTCACACCTGCTCTCAATCTGCTCGTTAGTCCCCTCTTTGTTCTGTCTCCCATAAATACACTTTTTGTGCAGTTCCTCAGCGCTGGTTCATCGTCTAACTTCCTCCAACTTCGTCTCACTGTGTCTTCCTCGTTGCGATTGTTTCCCCCTGAAGTCTCCATGGTTTCTGGTTTGTTTGACTTTTTTCATGTTTGATTTTTTGGATTCTTGCCTCAGTTGTTTGTTAAGTGTTTCATTAAATCCACAAGAAACTCACCTCTGCCTCCCTGCCTCTGCATTTGGGTCCTCACACCACAACCACATCCTGACACCCTCTTTGACCAAACTAGCGGCGAATAGATATGAGGATTCCGTTGAATGACTTTTGGTTATGATTTGGCAATGGAAATGTAATGCGCACATGAGAAAACACATGAACATGATTTATCAGCGTTTAAACTCTTGGTGAACTAAAGCTTGTTATAGCTTATAAAGAAAACAGCTCAAAATCCGTAAACACATGAAATGATCAAAATCATCAAGAGACATACTGTTTAACTAGAATCCATCCCTAAATGTCCCAGGCCTGATA